TCGGGCTTGATTTCAAGCCTTTTTGATGTCCTCTAGTTGGATTTTGATTTGCACCCCCCCCCCCTCCCCCCGCGCGAGAGAGCCTCTATGCTATATAATTCTACAAGCTTGAAAAGAGCTCATGTATATAAGGGGGGCAAATCTTGTTTCCAAACCAATGTGGGACAAAGTCCTACATTTTCCCTTCATTTCCCAACTTAAATGGGTCTACTTTGAGAATCAATATCTCATTCACCCATTATCCGTTTTGAGCGTACAATATATCAATCTCTTCGTCTTACTACGAAGAATCCGAATCCACTTTGACCCGACCCAAATCGGAAGTGGACCCCACTGATAATTGTACCACAAAATAGCCACTTAATATGCCATTTTAAGCTAATTTTTCCAACAATAATTTATTAAAAAAATAAAAAAGACCTAGTCCGTACCTAGGCAATCTGCTCACACATCCCTTCACGTGTGAGGTGGGGATTTGGACCCATGACCTTTGGTCTAGCTCTAATATCAAATTGAAGCATGTGCTCCATCTCAACTAAAAGTCGAAGCTGATAGTTGGATTGTACGTTAATGGCTATATGTTCACAGGCAGTACGCCATACTTCCCAGATAGGGAGCTTGGAGTAGGTGATGACGTAGTACGCCATAGCAAACTGGGTGTCGTTCTCCGGCGGGTAAACCGGCTGAATTTCACGGACGATGCAGCCCTGGTTCACCAGTAACCGGCGGTGCTCCACCGGGACATCCGGCAAGACCGCCACGACGAGCGGGTAAGCAGAGTTGACCTTCCGCAGCCCCTTGGCCAGCCCCACCACCCCTTTCACGTAATCCCCATTGCCGGCCAAGAACGTCACGTACGCTCTGCTACACAGGCTAGCGGCCTTTAGTACTAAACCGCCACCCGCCATTACATTATTAGCTGAAGGTTTCAGTAACGTTTTTTTATGTCGGGAATTCTTGAAACCAAAGCAAAGGATTAAGGTGACTTTTGGGAGTGTTCTTGAAGCTTTTAGTGGACGTACAGGACAGGATAGGATATTAAGATTTTGTTGAGATTAGGTGTTTGATGTTTAGTGGACAGGACAGGATATTAAGATTTTGTTGAGATTAGGTGTTTGATGTTTTGGTGTCTTTGAGGTTAAAGTGAGTGATTGGTCAGTTGGCCTGAAAATTTAAACCAAGAATCAAACTCTTGAACTTTGGTTATAAAGATAGATAAATTCATTCCAATTAACTACACCCTCCAGATTAGTCGTTTAACTATTTGGAATTGCTACTGTCCTACTGTCTTACGATGTGAAGCAAACGCATCCGATTGTACGCGTGGCAAAAGGCTACATCCAACGGCTACGAAGATGTGATGTTGTTTAATGCATGGAGGAAACTTCTGGAAATCGGTCGATGAGTGGAGGCACCCGATGGAGGTATAAATAATAAAATAATACTATCGTACTAAATATACTCTTAATTTTTACTCCATATTTACGTGACATTTTAAATTTATTTTTTAAATATGTTGATGATGAATTTGATTGTGAGAATGGTGAATTGTATTCACTTTTGTTTAGTTAGAGCCCAATTTTGCAAGAAGTTTATGGATTTGGTGTATTTCCTACGAGAGTATGACTTCACCATAGCTAAGCCTATCACATTTCTTACCCAACTTTGAGAAAAGGAATCAGAAAGGAATGGGCACACTAAGTGTTTGTTTAATTACCAAACCATTCAGTATACAAGAATCTATTACCGCTTGGTTGTTCAGTTCGGGAAAACCAAACCAAATTACCAATTTGGTCCCAAGTTAACGAAAAAACTAACAGATAAACAAATTGGTTAAGATTTTTAAAGTTGAGAGACTTAATTAATAAAAAAATAATAATCAAAAACTAAATTGGTAATTTCACTATAGTCAATAAAACATTTCGGTAATTAATTCTATTCTTATCATGTAACTTGTATTGACGAGTATAGGCGGCGCCACGACGCTATTAAGATTTTGTTGAGATTAGGTGTTTGATGTTTTGGTGTCTTTGAGATTAAGTGAGTGGTTGCTTTTATAGGACTCTCTGGGAACAAATTATTACGGAGTAATATTTATTATTATGTCCGTAATTTTCCATGGAAGCCGCGAGCTCTGTGGAGAGATCTAGCTCATGGAGCCGTAGCCAATGATACGACGCCCTATATTAAGGAAAAATGTGTATTATTTGTACTACAAAATGTATAAAACTTTACTACCGTATCAAATTTTATTCCTTAAATAAACTAAGAATTTCTCTATCCACAAGAACTTATTTAACAATAATGATTGAACTAAAAGTACCTCGATCATAACACCTAAATGGCTGGTATACTTTTATGCTGATAATTATATGTAAATGGTAATTAGATCATTGTCTTATATAGCTAAATTTAAAATTCATTATTAAAAATGTCAATATATGACAATAGAACATCGTGACACACTTGACGTCTTGAAAAGATGCTGAGACTACAACAATTTTGCAATCAATCTTGCAAATTCAGAAAATGAAAAATATCAAATTTCAAAAATAGCCACAATTGCAACATTCATTGATCCTGTATGTAAAATACTTATTGTGCATCCTTTAAATATATTAGAACTAATATAAATTTACAATTCATTTCATTTTCTAGACTTAACCTGCTTTGATTAAAGGCAAAACCAGAACCAACATAGACAACAAAAATACTTGGCGGTGGGTGTGTGTATGTAACCACTGTTTTAAAAAGATTTATGTACAAAGTGGCAAACTACTTAATCGCATGCATTGTGGTCAAAAGGCAGCAGCGGGTACTCCAAGGTTAGTATCAATTCAACCAAAAAAAATTTACAGATAAAAAACACACACAAAAAAAATCAAGTACTACACTCATTCATACTAATTTTAAAAATATGAACTTCAAAATGTACATGTGCAAAATGGATGTGAAAAATTATTAATGAAACTGGACACATTGCGACATTAGTATTTGGACAACTTGTAGAGTCATTGTTCTTACTATCAAGTAAAAAAGTTATGGAACTAGAACAAGAGGTACTACTCGTGAACCTTCTACATATATAATAAATATTACGGAGTAATATTTTGTTCAATACTTTCACATGTGAATCTACGACACACATCTCACAACACATAAAACATGTAGGAAAAAAATTAACACTGTCAAATATCAACAGGCGTTTGCAAGATCAAGAATTCATAGTACAACTAAGATCCAATCATATACACAACAATGCAAATCCACAACTTAGCTTGCTACACCATAATATCATTGCATGACGCTACCCTCTATGCTACCACCAGTAACCTAATTGTATATGACACATACCAATAAAGAAGAATTGAAGAAGACAAGTACGGAGGATAAAGACAATGACAATGTTACTCAAAAGAGAATTACGAAGATTTAGAGAAATTCAAATCAAAAGTAATATTTATTTAGACTATCGTTTTTAGATTAAATATTTAGGCAATCGTTTTTACAAAGTTGTAAATATCTATTTTGATGAAAATTACAATCAACTTCTCATATACTATGTTGTATTCACATACTTTGATTTACTGATTTAAATAAACAAAATTAACATTTAATTACTTATGCATAAACATTTCGTATATAATATTACATTGATATACTTTGAAGTACATATTTAAAAATAAACATTAAATATGATATGCGTATAAAAACTAGTAGTACAAGTCAAAATAAATTTGTAATATATTAAAATTGAATTTGTATCAACGTCAGTCTTGTAATATTGACCATAGTCCAATATATTTATCTCTCGAAGATGTACAAGAAATAAGTAATTGGAACTAGAAAAGTGTGGTGGAAATTAAAATGGTAAGCAATTATTGATTATATTTATTGATAAGTGTCTATTCAATATTGGTTCAACGTCTCTTTTGATCTAAGAGCCATATATTTTTTCTAAAAGCACGTGTTATGTCGAAAAGGACTTAAATCAAATTTAGGAAAAATGTATTTTCGTCCTCTGATCTAGTTATATCGGTGGTATAGATTTAATCACTAAGTTATATGTGTGATTATATTAATTTTTAAATTATGCATAAAATGACAATTTTAGTATTTGAAGGATTAAAATAACTCTTTGATGAATTTCTCATAAAAGCAACTTAAAGAAATTTGACATTTTTCTCGTATCTCAAAAGTCTAGTTTAATCACGTTTGTCACTTAGTAGGTGAAATAAGAAACTTTTATGATAGTGAATTTACGTGTCTGAAGACGGTGATCAAGTATTCCATTATTTCTACTGAGTCTTAGTTATTTATACATGGTTCAAGTTCCAAACAAGTTATAAGAGAGTTATTGAAGTGCTTTTGAGACTGACGAACCTTGAAATGAGAAGTTGAGAAGTGAAAAATGATACTGCAAAATTGGTTTCAATATAAAAAGGCAAATAACCTGTGAAATTTTTACTTTACCCCTCCAATAATAAAAATTTTTGAATTTTTTTGTCAAATTGAGATAGAAATCTAACGTTAGAAACCAAATTCACAATCGTTATGTTGTGGAACCGTGTCTACCTTGCAAATTCATGCACTTCTTTACTCAAAACTGAAGATTTAAAATAATTACAATTATAATTACAATTAAAAAACTGCGTTGTGGCTACATATATAACTCATAAACCAAAGATTTCATTTTCCTTAATTTTAATTAATGCTATTAATTGTAATTGACTTCAATATTTTCACAAGTATTTTAGGTTCTATCCATTTTTTTAATAGAAATTTAGGAAACATTACTTGTGTCTATAGGAGTTTATATATATTCTTATCATGTAACTTTTTTAGATTTGATAAAATTATTATTATTATTTGAATAATGATTATCATGCATTTGGTTAGTTTTTGACAATTAATAGTTTGAAAATTAAATATGAAATGCCAAATGCCAATAACCAATCATTTCATCTGATATACTTTTTTTTTTCCCTAAAATATCCACAAAAATATGAGACAATAGTCAAAATACAAATGTTTTACTTAACCATCAAGATAATTACTCGCACCAGCAGTAAGTTCTTTAATGGCAGATTGTTGATAAACATCGAGATGATTGATAACGTTAAATTCTTCCCAACCGTTTGCAATTACCAAAAGCTCCGAAATATCAAGCAAAAACATACATTACGGCGTATATATATATATACATACAAGGACCAGAGGCTGCTGATTACGCAGCAGATGGGGCGGCGATGTAACGAACAACGCCGGTCTTGGGGAGCACCACCGCCTTGAACTTGTCATCTTCAACCTCAAGCCCGCCACCGCCAACTGCCGACGCCGGCGCCGGCGTATTCTTGTAATCCAATGACTCGTCGTTGTATACGTCCCACCACTTCTTGACCAGCATCTTGATGTCTTCCCTGTCCATGTTTGCCTCTTTTCCGGTGAACCTCCACGGCTTCGACCCCGCCGCGCAGTAGTGAACCACCTTCACTTTCTCCAGCTCCACATTCTCCGGGTGGCGCCACAGCATGGCTAGTACCAGGTTGTACACATTCGGGATCGGCTTATAAACGTTTCTGAAAAACATGTTCAAGAAATCCTGGAAAATTAAAAACAGAAAATTTGTATTAGTAGCAGGATTAGTCCGGAAAAACATAAATATGCTTCAATTTGCAATAGAAATTGTTACTGGTTGAGATCTGTTACGTACTTGTTCGGCGAAAGGAGTGGGAGGGGTGATTTTAAGGGTGTTCAAAAGGTCATCATAAGTGGAAAGACTGGGCTCAAAGACAAACATTCCGGCGTTGAAGTAAAGCGGCGGGCGGGGGCCGAGCTCCTCCGGCCACTGGACCTTCTCCGGGCACTGTTGGCAGTATCCGATCTTGTACTGCGGAGTGTGAGTCCATGTCTTCTCGCAGAAGCAGTCCATGACGGCGTAAAAGTAGCCGTCCGGCAGGTCAAACAGGTGGTCAATGTTCTCAAACACCTGGATATCCCCATCCAAGTATATCATCTTACTATACTCCACAAACTGCACTCAAAAACCATCATTTTTTAGCTTCAAAACCATGCAATTTTAATCCCAATTTATGTTTTTAATTTGAAGGTTAGTCTTAATTACCTCCCAGATACGGAGCTTGGAGTAGTTGATGACGTAGTACGCCATAGCAAACTGGGTCTGGTTCTCCGGCGGGTAAACCGGCTGAATTTCACGGACGATGCAGCCCTGGTTCACCAGTAACCGGCGGTGCTCCTCCGGGACATCCGGCAAGACCGCCACGACGAGCGGGTAAGAAGAGTTGACCTTCCGCAGCCCCTTGGCCAGCCCCACCACCCCTTTCACGTAATCCCCATTGCCGGCCAAGAACGTCACGTACGCTCTGCTACACAGGCTAGCAGCCTTCACTACTAAACCCCCACCCGCCATTGCAGCATTAGCAGAACCACTAACGATCTCCGGCGCCATTCTTTTCCCCAACCAACAGATATTATGAGAAGGTAGCGTTTTTCTATGTCGGGAATTCTTGAAACCAAAGCAAAGGATTAAGGTGAGGTTAATTTGGGAGTGTTGTTGAAGCTTTTAGTGGACAGGACAGGATATTAAGATTTTGAGGTTAATTAGGTGTTTGATGTTTTGGTGTCTTTGAGGTTAAGTGAGTGGTCGCTTTTATAGGACTCTGGGAATAAATTATTAATATTTATTATTATGTCCGTAATTTTCCATGGAAGGCGCGAGCTCTGTGGAGAGATCTAGCGCATAGAGCCGTAGCAAATGATAAGACGCCGTATGCATTTACTGTCGTATCACTGCTACTGTCTTACGATGTGAAGCAATGCATCCGATTGTACGCGTGGCAAAAGGCTTCATCCAACGGCTACCAAGATTACGTTGTTTAATTGCCCGGAGGAAACTTCTGGAAATCCGGCGATGAGTGGAGGCCACCCGGTGATGGTATAAATTAGGGAAATTAGGAATGACAATGTGCCCGATCTGTTGGGGATGGAGATGGGGACGGAGACGGAAAATTTTTAAAATTTCTCGGCAAGGAACGGGATACAATTTCTCACCCTGTCTCGTCCCGATTAATTATTATAATTAAAAAATTAATAATAAAAAATAAATAAATAAAAATTATATATATATATATATATATATATATATATATATATATATATATATATATATATATATATATATATATATATATAATTATTATAATTAAAAAATTAATAATAAAAAATAAATAAATAAAAATTATATATATATATATATATATATATATATATATATATATATATATATATATATATATATATATATAATTTTTAAAATTAAAAATTTAGTTTATAAAATTAAAAATTACAATAATTTAAAATTTTAACAAGGAATTACAGGGAATGAGGAATCCCCGTCCCCGCCTAATTTCCGGCGGGGCGGGAATGAGAACTATTTTCAATTCTCCGCCGGGGAGAGTATACTCCCCACCCCCACTCCGCCCCTGCCCCTACCCCTGCCCCCCCCGCCCCTGCCCCGTTACCATCCTAGTATAAATAATAAAATAATATTAAACATACTCTTCATTTTTATTTTATAGAGTTAATACCCAAAATAGTCCCTCGACTATGTCACAATTACCAATTTGGTCCTCAACTACCATTCTTACCTAATTAAGTCCTCAACTATGTAACTTTTACTCAATTAAGTCCTCAACTATATAATTCTTACCCAATTTAGTCCTCAACTATACAATTCTTACCCAATTTAGTCCTCTATATTAATTTGACTGTTTGTTGACTGTCAAAAGTCGGGATAAAATTGTAATTTTACAAGATTTCTCCTTCCTCTCCATTTAGCAGCGCCAAACCATGCAGCAATACACTCCGATCAGATTTCGATCGTCAAAAAATCGTTAGAAATCAAATTCATGGGCTATCCGATGCATAACCACTACTTCGATACTAACAGGTTTAGAACCCAACCAGAGCTTATTGCTACATGGTTTGGCGCTGCTAAATGAGGAAGAAGGAGAAAACTTGTATAATTGCAACTTTATTTTCACTTTTGACAGTCAACAAACAGTCAAATTGACAAAGGACTAAATTGGGTAAAAATTGTATAGTTGAGGACTTAATTGGGTAAGAATGATAATCGAGGACCAAATTAGTAATTACGACATAGTCGAAGGACTATTTTGGGTATTAACTCTATTTTATATTTACGTGACATTTTTAATTTATTTTTTGAAAAATAACGCACAGTTTTTATTAATTTGTTTCCTCATCTATCAATAAAATTATGACAGCAACTCACTAGAAGTGCATATATGAAAAATAGTAGTATTTGTTGCTCTATCTTTTTCCATTTTGAGGTGGTAATTTATTCAAGTTGATACTATTCGTCTATACCTACTAGAACAATCCATGACCCCACCATAATCCCATATCTCATGTGATTGTTTTGTTTTGTTTTGTTTTGTTTTGTTTTTTTGTTTTTTTGTTTTTTTTTTTTTTTTTTTTTTTTGTTTTTAGTAACCATTTTATTTGTTTTTAATTATATTGTTGTCCAAAATTAGTCGTAAAAGATAGGTTGGAAGATTCAATAACAATCGTAATCAAAAGTTAATGAAACAAGGCTAGTAATAATAATAATAATAATTGTATTTCTTGACAATGCTAAAGTATTGAAGAACATTACAACTATTAGATGAGTGAAATTTTGACAGAATTTTACTACTCTCAGTATAGATTGCTTACTTATAATCATGGTTGAAAAAATCGCTAAGCGCTCCTTGGACGCTTGGGGGCGCAAAGCGTCTAGACGCCCGTGTTTTTTATTTTATTTCTATTTTTATTTTTAAAACATTTGTTTAAAATTTTTAAATTTTTAAGACTTGATAATTATAAACTATTCATTATTTTAATAGTTAATACTAAAATATTAAATATTAACCTAAGGGGGGTGTTTGGTTCAGGGAATCTTAGATTACCCCAAATAATAAGATTACCTGCAGGAAGGTAATCTGAGATTTTGGGAATGTAAGATTACCTTATGGGGGCGTTTGGTTCAGGTTATATAAGATAACCAAGGGAATGTGACATTCCAAAGCTCACATTCCGGTGTTTGGTTCATATTATCTCAGGGAATCTAACATTCCCAAGGAATGTCACATTCCCTCCACATAGGATTTTGAAGGGAATGTGATTCCCTTCAAAATCTTAGGTAATCTAAGATAACCTTGGTTATGTTAGTTATATATATATATATATATATATATATATATATATATATATATATATATATATATATATATATATATTTTTTATTATGTTATGTTAGTTTATAAAATAATTTTGTTTCTCAAGTTCAAGATTTTAGTTAATATTTTAAAATCATGTGATTATATATGATACCGTTATCTTATTTATTTATTTTAATTTTTAAATTTATTAAAATATATGAAAATATGTTAAGGATATTATAGTGTGTATAAAAGATAACCCTAAACCAAACATCATTATATTACATACCCCAATTTTAACCAAACACAAGAATCTAACATTCCCAGTAATCTAACATTCCCAGCAATCTAACATTCCCTAGGTAATCTTACATTCCGTGAACCAAACGACCCCTAAGTGTTTGGTTTGGATTGTGAAATATAATATTACCTCGTTTGGCTAATGGTTATATTTTAGGTCATATGGATCAATTTACTACAATATCCTCAAATTATATATATATATATATATATATATATATATATATATATATATATATATATATATATATATATATATATATATATATAGATACTGATAATTATACGCAAGCAATATGAAATAACCCGAGACCGAATAAAGCAAGTAAATGTCTTTATTGATCACGGTAAAGGCCCTAAGTACAATCTACTTGGTTGCTCTGAGTACCGACTGACTGCGGTCGGGATTCTCTAACAACAACCTATCGATCGTCCAAAAGTCCCTTACACTGTAGCTACTGTGGTTATTTATAGCCGCTGTGCCGGGGACAGGATTCCAGCCGTTCGGCATGTCCTCCACGTAGCCACCACGTGTCATCCTCCCGGGTGCCCTGCCTGTCGATGTAGAGAGCCGCCACGTGTCCTTCGTCAGCTCTCTCGCCAAAGGGCTACCGCTCGGTGGTCGACATGATCGGTTCGGGCAATTCCCGGTCGGACCCCGACCGGGTTCTTCACAAGGAGCCCGACCTGTTACCTGCAAAGACAAAGAGAAAAGGGCGAAGGCATCTCGGTCGTGGTGAAGCTGTGTCGGTCGGGATATTCCCTACCAAGAGCCCCCCTGCCCGGGCCTTTTTGACCGTCCGGGAAGAAACGGGACGGGATGAAGAAGCCCAACCGTCGGCCACCAAACCGACCGGCCAGCTGTCATTCCCTTCCTCGCCACGTGTCGGCCACTGCCGGCCTCTGCGACTGCAACCGTCGCCTCGGAATCAGCGCTGGTCGTGTCACGCAAGTGGATGATTTTCCCGCCCAAACGCTCTCCTATAAATAGGTTCCTGAGGCCTTCATTTGAACTTTCCTCAATCTTCTGAAGCAATCGGCACCCTCAGAGAGTCCCGAGCAGCAGATCAGCAATCCGATCAAGCAAAGCAAAACTTCAGATCCTCTTCCAAGTTTCTTCACTCGGTAAGCTCCTAGTTCTTTACTCTTTCTTTATTCTTCACTTAGCGTAGAAGTAGGATATCACTAACTTCGAGCTAACTTCCCGAACCCTGCACTAACTCCCGACCGACCTTTAGGTAGAACTATGTCGGACTCGGATAGTCAAAACGTTTCGGTCGCGGACTACGACAATACGCTCGAGCAAAGCAGCGAGGAGGTGGACATCATGTCCTATTCTCCAGAGGTCGAGCAACGACCGCCGCCAGCGCCCGAGCGAGCCCCCGAGCCAGAAGCATCCACCAGCTCGTCGGAGACGTCGGGATCGAGCTCCAGCAGGTCGGGGAACGAAGAAACGTCTACGAGCGGACGGAATTCCCCGGCCGAGGACGTCCAAGGAACGCCGCTGAGGGTAATAGGGGATTACCCTCAGGTCGAGCCTGAAGAAGAACATCAGGCTAACGTAGCAGAGGCCGTTGAAGGAAGTCCAGCCGAGCCGGCCGCGCCACGCGGGGACGGATACGAGTTCCTCAACAGCGAAAGCGTGGAAGGCCACAAGAGCTTGCTGACCAACGGGGATGCAAGCAGGATTGCGGCGGTTCTCGCTGGTCGGGTCGAGGTCGACACCAGCAGGCAGCTCGGGAATATCATCGAGCGGCACCAGGGGAAATGGATCGGGCTGCATTACGACTCGCTAATGGCCCCGATCACATTCCCCTTTTTGAGCCTTCTCACCGCGTTCCTAGGGTACTACCAGGTTATGCCCGGGCAGATTTGCCCGAACGCGCATCGAATGATCGCGTGCTTCCCCCAGATCTGCCAACGACACGACGTGGCCTGCACCATGGAGCTCTTCAACTTTGTCTATCAAGTGAAGGTGCTAGCGGCCGCGTACGGAGGGGGTTTCTTGATGACACAGTCCCGAGCCGATAGGTGCTCGATCGAGGGACTGCCCGGGAACAACCGGGGGTGGAAGGACCGGATCTTCTCTGTGAAGTATGATCCGTGGATCCT